TTTCTGATCCTGAAAAACTTTGCAATATTATTGAGATAACAAAATATACCAATACACAGGTGAAGGAGAGAGATTGAGAGATTGAGAGACTGAGATTCATTTAAAAATTTCTACACTACTTCTAAAACATTGAAGAGCACCATCAGTCTTTATTAAAGTTCAGAGAAAGAGTAGTTGGTAAGTACTCCAAGGAGAAAATAGAAGGACAAGGAATCTTGAAGGGAATGTTGAATAATGATAAGTAAACCTGTTTTATAGTAGATATTCTAGAAACATAACATTAGATGACATTTTGTGTACAAGTGATTTATTAAAAACATGGATCAAGAAGTATGAGGGAAAAGGGACAGAAAAGGAGATTTTATTTTGGATAAAACTACACAGTGGGTACTTTCAGCCTGACTCACAAGAGCTCTGGAGTGTTTGGTTGTAAACTGGAGTTGCTCTGAACTGGAACAGTGGAGTACAGGGGCGTTCAGAGTCTCTTACTCATCTTAGGGTATATGTGTACATGTAGTGAGAAGGAAGGGGAGGTGACAAGAATTTTAAGGCATTTCCTGCCCTCTATTCATGAGGGAGGTATGGGCTCCCACAGTGTGAGGGCCATTGTTGCTAAAAAGAGCCACCACTACTATTATTTGAAGACAAACACACTCAAGCCGAGACACTCAAAAATGGAAAAAAGGTGAACTGAAGCATCTTCATGGAGTGCAGTTATTATCTATTCCTGTGTGCCTGTCAGGTAGCAGAGGGGCTGCTGACAGCTTATAGGAGGAAAGAAATAACTAACGTGGGGTAAGAACACTCTTCCTTGAAGTATGATGCCATTGACTTATAATTCTTTTCATGCAACTTTTCTTTCAGGGCAGAACTGAAATTCTATTTACAACGTTTTTGGAAAGTTATTCTTTAGCCTTTGCTTTAACATTTCCAGAAAGAAAGAACTCTGTTTCCCAGGTCAGCCACTGTTACAATGAATTCGTCTCCTCCTAGTTTGTTCAAATTATTGGGCACTTATTCATTCCCTGGCTCACAGGCCACAAGGAATTCCAATTACCAGTTAGAATGCCATCTATTTTTTTTTTTTTCTATTCAGAGGAGAAACTCCTATAGTTGTGCTTCTTTATGCTCCCCCGAAGTGAAGCTACAAGCTATTACAATCTTACTAGCTTGCATTTTATTACAGATCACTTAGTCTTCCAGTCAGATACTCCAGATACCATTGTGGACTTATTTTTTTAAGTCTCTTTTAGCCCATGCATTTCAAAGATAAGACTATTTCATGAGTTTAGGTTATTTTTGCCAGTTTCTGCCTCACTCCTAAAACATTTTTTTGTCATATCTAGAATCTCACAGCTGTGAACCTAACCAAGTCAGGAATATGTAATAGAATTCTCTATTCTTTCCAGTGATCTTTTGCTATGAGTGTTTTCCTTTAGTCATATGCAAGGCAGAAGGTGGGGGAATGGAAAGAGAATATGGGAAATGTTGAATTTTCAGAAAAAGGAATAGCATCTCTTAGTTATTTTAATTGTTATATTTATATATAATGGAAAAGGAATTGGGGAAACCTTGGATTCTTCATAAAAAGATATAGTATCCCTGACTTAGTTTATATATAAAATTTTCAAATGCTGAATAATAATATTAGTTTCTCTTTATATGTTCCAGTGAAAATTGGGTTCTAAAAGATTTAGATGCAGTGACCTTGGACAATATTTGATATTCTATACATTTTCAAATTTATATCATATTTTTCCTGAGATTGCTTTTCCTTGACTAGTTCTTCAAAAAGATATTTAATGAGTATTGAAGTTATGTATACTTGTTTTTGATCTATTTAATATCACATTTCTGAATTTCTCTTTGATTATTAAACTGCTTATTCACTTTCCAAGAAACACATGCAGATTTTACCTCCCTAAAGTTTACTAGTCTTGACCCTTGCCACAAACCCAGTGTCTGTATTCTGCACTTATGTTTTAATTTTCCAGCTAATGGGTATCAATTCTGAAAAATTTTACTCATGGTAATCCCTGGAAGCAGAAGCACATGTAGTCAAGAGAAAAAAATAATTTGTTTTAGAGGCTCCTAAAAAATTTTCCACAGTATGATGGATATTTACTAATCTGATAATAGTATACTTTATGAAAATAACGCATTTCCTGTTTTTCTCCCTAATAGACCATGATTCCAAGATGCCCAGAGCAAGGCTATAGTCACTAATATATTATGCCTAGTGTCTGTCAAATATATGATAGTCAATAGTTATGTAATAAATGAAGGAATTAATGTTAGTCAAGACAGCAATGAAGGAGAATTTTCTTACATAGCTACATACTTATAGCAACTTTCTTGATTCTTCTTGTATTAATTCAGTCTCTAATACATCTACTCATTTATATGTATTTTTGACATTGTCTTAAAGTTGTTCCATTGATTATACATTACAATTGCTTAAAATATTTTAATTCATGCCAAATCATTCCCTAAATTCTACTTTAAATGGTGTCGCTTGACTGGTTTTGTTTATATTCTATTCCTATAATTAGTATTAATGGCAACCTGGGACTCTTTTCAACCCAAAGAGTACCCACATTTCTTTATTACTCTATTCAACTTAATCTTTGGGAAATAAGTTATAATGGGATATTACATATGACTTAAGTTTGATTAGACTCAAAAGCACATGGTTAGAATTTGAAATTTACTCATGTTAAACAAATTTTCACAGCCAAATTTTTTTTTTTTAAAAGAAAGTTTTATTGAACTAAATTCTAGCCATAAAAGGACCAGATCCTGGGGTATGAAGTCTAAACCACCAGCATCATGGCTACGTGGAAAAAAGACAAGTATATCCACCATCCTGAAGTTGATGGGCACTTTTCTACATAATATTTAGGGGAAAAAAGATCTAAATTGTTTTAAAAGAATTTATATGACCACAGATAAGGGGAATAGGAAAAGGTGAAGCAGGGATAGTTCTATGATAAATACATAGTTTTTAAGGAAGAAATATTTGCTACTTTTAATTGATTATAGGCAACAGTCTTGAAAGTTCATGCATATAGACACCTTGAGGTTGATTCAGGAATGTGAGTAGTGTTTTGTTAGCTGGCCTACAGCTATTAACTGAATAATTATTCTTGTCTCTTTCTTTCACTCTCTGCTCTCTGTAATTTAATTGAGAATATCTCAGATTTTTTTTTTGTCACTGATAAGAGAAATCAGTTTATAAGAGCCTGTGTTGCTTCCTTGCTCCATTTTTCTTTAATGATAATTTGAATGTCAAAAGAACAACTTGAATCATTTATGGCTTTCCAGTAAAGATGCTGATATAAAAAGAAGAAACAAGGTAATAAGGATGCTAAGAGACAGAAATATAGTCCAAAATTGGTCAAAATCAGATTAAATTTAATACATTGGTTCATATGGAGGCTAGAGCCTATAACGAGCCTAAATACTTTTTATTCTTCCCTAGGGAAACATACAATAAAATGCAGATACTTTGTTAGTTTTCTGTTTCATTTCTGTTGTCATCAAATATTTTGGTTATACTGTATTTTTATTAAAGATGAAAATTATGGGATCTTTATAATCTCTAGGAGTTGAAAAATTCACAGGTATTACATTTAAAATTGAAATATTTATAAGTTTTCATCCCATGATATTATTTTAAATGTGTTTTCATTTTTATAGGATAAAAAATTGAGGTTGAGAACATAGAGTACTTTGCTCAGTGCTCTTTTCCATCCTGGAATATTTCCACAGAAATGGTGATGAGTACATATGCACTGAATGAATAAATGAATAAGTGAACTATTTGAAGGTGTGATATCTTACATTTATTTTTGTTTAGAACTGGGATCCAAATTATGTGTATCCAGCTCTGAATAGCTCAAATAACTACTTGGAAGGGAGTTCCAGGGAGAAGAAAGGGCATTGGTGACCATCTTCTTCCTAGAACTATCATGTAGGAGATAATATTCCCATTAAAATCCTTGTAAGAAACATGGTGTTGTTTTATGAATATTTTAGCTTCTACATCATGCATTATCTAATAAAGGAACTTAACATCTGTCCCAATACTTTATTAGAAGCTTTCAAAAACAAAGCAAGGAGAGCCCCAACATTAATAACAGCAGAGTTGCTTGAAGGAATATTCTTGGCTATTTATTGAAATCTAGTTTGAATTATTAAAGGATTGAAAATGTTTGACAGAGCCGATGTACCAGATACTGTTTTAAAAATAGGAGAGTGTACTAAAAACATGAGACCCTTAAATTCAATGTTGATGACAGGTGCAGCTTTAATGAAATACATCAGCATGTTAAAATACACAAAGCTAAACATAGATGGATAATGATCAACATCTTTATTTACTGAATTCCACAGCAAAGATATCAGAGAAGCGCACCTTTAAAATGAGATGTGTGATCTCAGAGAATCTATTTTAGCTTTTGCAGATTTTAAAACGTAGTTGCTCTATTTATTCTGTCTGCACAGTTAGAACATAAAGAGCTGGAAAAGTTATTTATATACATCAAAAAATAAATTTTCAAGTCACTAAATAATTACTCAAAGTCCCACTTATCATATAGAACTGCATAGAATCACAAACATACAAACAGATGTATTCCTGTGAAGTTTCTAAAGGATAACCCAATGAAACCTGTTTCCCAAGTCCAATTTCATGTCTTCCAACCAGTTTTGATATAAAGAGCATTAGGAATTTTTTCCTAGGAAGACTGTTTTAGGCATATGTAGTATATCAGTGTTCGGAGAACCGTGAATGTATCATGGTATGAGTGAATTCTCTATCTTGAAAGTTTTTGGAGAAAAGTGAATGTTCAGGAAGATTGTAATTATCTGACAATGGTGTAGAATGAAAGATGTTGAAATTGGAATGTTTTGAAAAGTGAGACTGAAAGCTCTAGTGGATTACTGGAAACCATGTGTTGGAGCTTGTGTAGCCTGAAGACAGTACAAGGGGACTGGAAACTTTGATAATGGGAGAAAAATGGATATCTTTCTTTCCCAAGTTACTTGCTTGGATTAGGCAAAAATCAATTACATTCTGGAATGACAAAAGGGAATATGCTGACCTGCGTGTTCTCAGAAGACTCATAATAGTGTTTTGTTTTGTTTTTTTAATGACCAAATTAGTACCACTAATGTACATTCTTATAGTTTGTTCCTTTGTTATGTCGATGAGGCCAAGTGAATTCTTACCATTACCAGACTTAAGTATTTCTGTGATGTAGAAGGTAAAGATCTTTTGTCTTTCAGGATGAATTGTTGCAAAAATAAGCAAGTTCATTGGCAAATGAGAATAACAAAACTGAAGGAACAGACATGAAGTAGTTAATTTATAAACTCAGATATTTTAGAATCCTACCTATGTAGAAAGGTTTCAAACTTTGGCAACAATAAGGAGGAACAAAAGTCAGGTAAAAGTAAGATTTCACTTCGAAGAAATACATGTCTCCAAGTTTCTTTTACGGACGAAACATTGCAGATTTCTGGAAAACATAGGACAATCTTTTTTTTATCATTTCCATGTGTCCTTTAAAAGGATTTTCAATAACATTATACTATTTCCATCATAACACTTCTTCAAAATATACACACTATTAAGTCAAATTTAGTAAGAAAACTGTGGCATAAATTTTCATACATTAGAAAATATGCATCACTGGAGATTTTTCTAGACTCTTTTTTTGGCATTAGGCTTCATCAGTGCCAAGAAGCTACACGATCTTTCCTAGAAGAACAAAGAAAAATAATAAATATTT